ATGCTAATTTAAACCGCTGCCGTAGTTTAAGTAGTTCGAAACTTCGAGTGATTCTCAATCATTCCCCTCCGATCATCATAATTTTTAATTAGCAAACTCCACCAAGTTAGACGAAAATTCAACGTCAATCGCGATTCTCGTATTTTCGACTAGAATCGAAAATAATTACAGACCAAATGATTTTCCAAACCATGTTTCATTAAACACGACGAAAAAGAATTAAAATATCCTCAATTATCCATAAATCGATAAATTAAAAGAGAAAGAGAAAGAGAGAGAAAGAGAAATAATTTTTTAATCGAATTAAAGATCAAACTCGACTCGTTCGAATTGTTATTTCCGTCCGTGTTATTTCGTACGTTCCAATTTCGTACGTGGCGGAGCGAATACAATTGAATCGAGTGTGCAGTCGGCTCGTATCGATCCCCGTAATAAGGACGTAAGGTGGCAAACGAGCGACTAAGTGACTCGCGCGGCGCGCCATCAAGTGGCCATTACGCGTTTACACGGTAATTGGTTAGCCGGATTTTCGTCCAACTTACCAGTCGAGTCTAACTCCGTTATCGCGATTTCCAGAAAACTGGAGATGTCTGCTGGTCAACATCCTGGTGTCCACGAACGAGGTGGATTATTACGAGATCGTCCAACGTCCGCCCTTCTTAAACGCGAACGAATCTCGTTATTACCGACTTTTACCAGTGTTTCCATACAATATCGATCAATTGCAGTCGAATCGCGCCAATTCTCGAGAGTGGAATTCTCGTTTAGCTTGAAATGTCACTTTTTTTTTTTTTCTTTGCTTCTTTCGATGTTTCGATTTCAAGGTCCATGATTTCATTTTACACAAGTGATCACAAGTGGGAAGAATACGTAAAAATTCTTCGTGTTCGGCAGTTATTATTAAATTCAAATTGAAGAAATATCGCGGAAAGTGTTATTGTGAGAATAAACACGACTTACTTTCCAACAAATCCATCTCCATCGAAGGTAATATAATCGATAAAAAAAAATCCGGATCGAAGCTTCGAAAGCCTGGTTCGGCAAAGCTTTGCTAGAAAACCGATCAGAGGAGCGAGAGATGGATCGGTGTGAATAATTAATTAAAGGAAACAGATTCGAAGGGAGGATAGTGGTGGTAAAGGTGGATGGTTAAACCGGTCGATGCAAGACGTTGTGGCACTCACGGAGAGCTCACGGTTCTAATCTAAGCGTCGAGGCTAGTTTCCAACGAGCGCACACCGAATATCGGTGCGACGATGGTGATACAACGGCAAACATAATGCGGCCTGGAGCACAGCCAGATACGGGTCAACGGTTATTGCCGGTAATAACGTCGTAAATCTAAGAGATGCGGAGGAATCCTATGCCCGTGGACCAATTCTATCTCGCGATCGTTTTAACTTACGGCCGGAAATTCGCTACAAACTGCAAAAATTAATTGATTGAAATTTCCTTAAAACAATGTTACTTTTAAACTTCAACCTTCGATATTTATTTTCGATTTTTCTACTTTTTTCGATCGAGGATCTTGGAGATTATTTTCCTATTACATTCTCCGCGTTGTTTTTTTTTTAAATGAATTTTATTTATTATTATACAGAAATCTTTAAACTTTTATTAAAAAAATTCTCTCTATTCCTATATATATATATCTCCAATAAATTTTCATATTTTCAAAAGTTCGAAATCTCCATTCTGAGAAAATGTTCAAAGATGTAAATCCTTTGTTATTCGGGTTATTTCAATAATTTTATTTATACGAAATGTTCGAATAATAATTATTTATTTAAATCGATAATAATAAACCGTTAAAGTTTGCATCTTTTAAATTAAAGCCTTTTCTCTCTCTCTCTCTCTCTCTCTCGTGACCTTGCCGGCCAACATGTCAGCCAATACGTATTGCCAAATCGCTAATGAACCAATAATTTCACTAATGACGCTCGATCAAGGACTGTTTGTCGTACACCTGCGTCCGATTACTGCCAGTATTCCTGGAATCTGCTCTAACTACACGCTCCTATCCCCGCCCGTTAATCAACCATCTTCCAAGTTTCGGACGATTATTGCGAATTCCGTCGATTCTCCCGCTATTCGTAACACGGTGTACCCATTAAAAGTCTTTCTTTGTGCTGAAAATGTACAATTTTATTCTCTGTTGTTCAACATACAACACTTCTTCTGTTCGTAAAAAGAATTCATATTTGTCGAGGCGTATTTATGTAGCTTAAATGAAAAATTATTTAAAAAATTGTTTACTATTTGAGTTAAAAACTTTGTGTTATTTATTTATTTTTTTTTTTAAAGAAGGAACGTAGAATTTTGTGCACGTAAGTTAAATTACACGTTCATCAAAACCTTGCCCTTTCAATTTAGGAAACAAGAGAAGTCAACAGAAGGCAAATTCGAAGAGTGGATAATCATTATCATCAATGAATAATTATCAGTGAATAATAATCAATTCTAAGCAACGAAATTCTCATTCTCATGTAACTAAAACTCGAATATGAAAATATGAACGCACTCTACTATATTTCTTTTTTCGAAAGAAAAGATAACTTATTACTCAAATAAGATTCATAGCATGTTTTAAATTATAAAAATTAATTTGGAATTTTCGCCTTGTTAGGCAAAATTTTGCATTGTTCATTTGCGAAGTAATAACAATTTAAAATTTTGGCATTCCCCCGTAACTTCGAAATTATAACCTATTTCCTATGCCAAATAAACTTAGCTACTTCCCAAATTTATTTTATCACTCCCCTTTTAAATAATCCTTTCGAAATCTTTATTCGAAATTTTCCCTTGTGCTCTTCTCTACGTTTCCGTACACGATTCCAGACGATTTTCGTAGCAAAAAAACTTTTCGAACCTTTCGAATTAACCTCTCCGTGCAATTCGTGTCCAGGTATTCCCATCCAGAAATCAATCCGAGGTGTACACAACGAGAAGCTTATCCACACGTACGCCCGTTTCATCCATGATGACAGCGTTTCCCCGGGATCCGGACGAGTTGGTTGAAAGTTGGACAGGAGTGGCGGTGGATCGGTTGGATCATCGGTTGGACACGCGATCGGTTGGAAAATTTTTGCACGCGATCGTCGAGCGCACTTATCAGGCCGAACCCTCGGGACTCAACTACAACACCGCAAACATAATCAACAGCTGTCACGAAGGAATCAACCGCGATTAAGCTCGGAACCCGGAGCTTCTCAGGCTTGCAACAACGAGCTTGTTAAGTTGAAAGGAACACAGATTTTTTTTCTATGGAAGGAGATATTGGTGTACATATATATATATATTATACGTAAGTGTAATTGTAATTACAGTTCGATGTTAAAGTGGTGTCTCGAAAATAAGTAGACTACTCGATAAATGTGATGTAATATAAAAATGATAATTCTTTTTTGTGTGAAACATTTTTCTTTTTTTTTTTTTTATTAAATTTCGAATTGTAATAAAATATTTCCAGGCGGAACGGGAAAAGATGATAATAATTTGAGAGTTGATCTCACGCGTTCGAAGAGATATTCTGTCGAAAAAAATAAATCGGTTCACGATATAAATCCATTAAGATCTATATTCGCGTAAATTTTCCTCGAATTTTCTTTTAAAATAATTCTATGTATGTAAACTTTTGTGTGATTGGTGTGACATATGACAAATGAAAATACTTATCTGTAATTTAATTTTTATATTAAAATATAAATAGTAGCGCAAATATTGCGCAATAAAATTTAAAGTTATCTAGGCTAATCGTTCGATTACTGCACGAAACTTGGATGAGATTGTAATAAGTGATTCACTTAACTATTATAATAGTTTGCAGATGCGGATGGAAGAAATAAGTGGACGTAATATAAAAGGAAACCAAAGAAACCAAAGAAATTAATTATCCCTTCGCTTCGCGAAGATGATTAAGGATTATTAATTAACAAAGAATTATTATCCGTAAAAGGGAAGCGTACTTAATGAATACTTCATACTTCATGGCTCTCGAGCAAAATATAAGAAAGATTAAAAAATAAGGCAAGGCAAACAGAGGACGGATATATATACTTTATTAAAGATCTTTTGATGAATTCTTTGCGATTGTGAAAAAATTTTTTTTTCGAAAAATCTCGAATGAAAATAATGAAAAGAAATACCGTTTAATTGCGCAATTTGAGGATCTAATTTTCGAAGGGAATTATCGATGAATGAGACAAATCTCATATTTTTAACGTTGAATTTCCACGATGATTGGTGAACGCCAAGTTCTTTGCCTTGTTTATTTAAATATTTCACTTGAGAATCGCGAAAGTTTTAAAAGGGAACTACGAGGAATGTAATTTAAAGCGGCGCTTATTAAAGTTTAACGTTGAAAAGATGCTGAAAGAAGGCTTTTTCCCTTTGCTTGTAACTTTTTGTCCATTGAATTATAGAGGGATAGTGATAAAAAGCAATGAATTCCGCTGTTCGTTTACAACACCCATTTCTCAAATCTAAGCGACTTCACTTTGAGCTTGAAGATCAAGACCTATCAAGGATAATCGTGGCTAACCTCGAGAAAACCATTCCTTTTATTGTTAAATTTTAACATTTTATTAGAAGTTTGCAGAAAGAAGAAAGTTTTTACACGGTTTTTTCGATTATTTTGAAAATTTCATGCCAAATTTTATTAAATTTCTATTACTATTTATTATTATAAAAATAATTTTAATTATTTATTATTCCTAAATAAACGTACAAAAAATGAAGATGAACATGGATCGATAATACGATGACGATCGAATTATTTATTAATTCAATCCATTATACATTCTTAATAAATCGAATACAATTTTGAAAAATATTTATACTTATATCGAATCAATACATCGAAATAAAAATCTGATCCTGAATATTTCTACCTCTTTGCAAATAATTCATATAGACAAAATTGAACAGTATTATATTTCAGATTAAATTTCATTGGATTCTAATCGAAGGGGTTAACAAATCGAATCCATTCGTACTCAAAGAATTGGCGAGATTCGGGAAATCTCGGGAATGGAAAACTGCGAGAACTTTGGTTATTGACACGAGGTTTAAAGAGAGTTGGTAGCACTGAGCAGAGGCGAGGAAAAGAGAGTGGGGATATGTCAGGGTATGCGAAATTACGGAGAGGGGAAGGGGCGGGAGAGGAGGAGGATGGTCTTTGGGGAGGGCGTTGCGCGAGATTACGTTTTGCAGGCCGTGCAGTTTCTTCGGTTTCCGTGGGCTTGATAAATGCTCGAGGAGAAAAAACGAAACCTTTACGGAATCTTTAATTTTTCACAGGCGAAGGAGAGGTTTCTTCGAATAACACACTTTGGTCTAAGTTATGCGCAGGCAGGAGAGTGGTGTGAAAATGAGAAAAATAGTCGAGATCCTTGTAAATTTCTCTAACGACCTAACCTAACATCGATTTAACCAAACATTGGTATCCTCCGCTAATTTCTTGGGTAAAAATATTACGTGTTTTTGTGTTATTGGCCAGTGTTATAGAACAGAGTGGTGTGAAAATGGGAAAAATGTAACAAAATTTAACCAATTTAACATATAATTTCTCAAACATTGCTTCGTTAATTTCTCGGGTAAAAATATTACGTATTTTTGTATTATTCGCCAGTGTTAGAAGAGAGTGGTGTAAAAATGAGAAAAATACTCGAGATCCTTGTAAATTTCCTTAACGACCTAACCTAACATCGATTTGCCAAACATTTATTTCTTCGCTAATTTCTTGGGTAAAAATATTACGTATTTTTGTATAATTGGCTATTGTTAGAAAAGAGTGGTGTGAAAATGAGAAAAATATTCGAGATCCTTGTAAATTTACCAAACATTGCTCCTTCGCTTAATTTCTTGGGTAAAAATATTATATTTTCGTATTATTGGCCAGAGTTATAAAAGAGAGTGGTGTGAAAATGAGAAAAATACTCGAGATCCTTGTAAATTTATCAAACATTTCTCCTTAGCTAATTTCTTGGGTAAAAATATTATATGTTTTTGTATGATTGAATGAAAATAATTTCTCAGTTTGTGAAAATTCATCGAGATGTAAGAAAGAGAATAAGACAATTTATTTGTTAATAAATGGAATGCGCAAAATGTGAGAATTTCTTGTTCAGAAATTTCTGAAAATCCAGATATCATGAGTGTTATTATTAGTTCACAGAATTGTTTAAAATTTTGTTTTAGATTTTCCATTATTTTATAATTATTTCCTAAGATATAGGAATACTAGGAATATTTCTAGCAGAGAATACACTGAATTTTAAAGTTTTAAATTCCATATTTTTTACTCTCAAATGTATTTGCACATAAAGATCGAGAAGCT